TTATTGTTCATTCTCTTTCCAAATGGAAACTGCTGGCCGACAGTAGACTAAAGCAGGTCTGTTTAAAACGGTGGATTCTATTTATACTTTTGATGATTCTAAACGAGTGCATAGGTTATGTTATGCTAAAAGGCATAGTCCAGCTCTGCGGTTATCAATCATCATCTGAACTATAGCTCATTGTTGATTAAGGCATAAATTTGGATGGGGGGGGGACGGGCGACTGCTGTTGGTTCCTAACAAGGAATCTGCAATATTGGATATAACTCGTGACAGCAACGTACACAATGCCCATGAGCCTAAGATGAAGGTAGTTGAGGACAAAAGTCTCTGACCCACCGAAATAGACATCAGTAAATGAAACGCACGCACAAAAATAAGAAACGGAATGGTAATGTACCATTACCTGTTTAGCCTGACCCCGCTATGTTCAATCCTTCATAACATGCTCTGTCGAAATGGATACAGTCAGGAAGAAACTGCCGACATATAGCTCTACAGACACCTTCTGGTTCGTCAACTGAATCGATGGTTCTATGACTTATAATCATCTCCTTTTGCCCCTCATGTTACACACCTATTTGCTTATGTATAATCCACCGAGTCGTAAGATTGATTGTCACTTCATATAATACAGAATAAACATTCGAAGGGAGATCTCTGCAATAATGAAATCATTCAATATGCAGACAGATTTACGCCAGAATCCATCCTGAGTCTGCAACTGGTGGGTATAGCTGAGCAACAACTTCAAATTTAGCGTCTTTGAAAACTCTTTAGACAAATTGCACTGTACGGTGCATTTGTACCTTCAAATGATTATGTCATTCCAAAAGATTATTGAAAGTTCAGCTCAGCACAGTCAAATATCAAATTTACTCTTGAACCTCAGCATGACGGTCGAATGAATTTTGTGAATGTTGCTATTCCAAACGAAATGAGTGGAACACNAGCAGGACCGATTCCGTTTCCCCGTAGGTTTACTAGAAGTTCAAATCATATAAAATCATGGTCGTACGGCCAGCAGAATACTAGTTCGGTAGTGTGGGATGTGGTCGTCCTTTCCGAGGCCAGTCTCGTGATTCTGATTGGCGATGTGATCACACGGTGATCACGACAGAACACGAGGCACGAACACGCATGGATAAGTAGGTCAGCGGCGCACATTCACACGAGTACATACACGCTAATATACCCATGTCGGCCTTTGTAACAAAGTGAATGACAGGTACGCATTAGCGCAACAAATGGAGATCAAAAGCACCCGGGCAAACGCATTGTGGAACTATCACGCTATCAAGTTAGATCCAATAGACATGGTCCCGTCGTTTAGGTTGGACTGCAACAGCTCATCCATCTATCTGGCTTGCATCCAATGTATTCTTCAGTTACTTAACTACATTAATTTCGCGCGGTGTTTCCTTATTCACCTTAGCACCTGCGAAAGACCATCAGCCTAGTAGTTTTGGTATACGAGTCAAAGAACATAAAGTACGAACCACGTAAACTCCTCAATTGCCTCTCGTGCTCTTGAAGGACGGGGTCGTGCTTACTTTCAAGTTAGCCATATCCTTCATTGGAATAAGACCAACGTCCATGACAAGTGTCCACTATCTGTTTCGCACTGACAAATACTGAAGACAGTCAGCACACCTCCCGGGGCACCAGAGGTTCTGTGACTCGTTCTGGTCAAATCATTTGACAGTCACCAGAGTTGAAGATCGATCAGGGCAATCAACACCGGAAATCACCAACATATAACGACTCCGCTTTTTTTACTTAATTTGTTTCCGTAATAATTTACTGGCCGGCCAACTCAGGAAAACAAAACTCAATATCATCAAGATGTTTGACTAAAACACCAGAATCATTGTGTTCTGCTCTAGAACCTTCCGAATAAAGAACGCTACCACAATGACAATGGCCAACCAATCCATTTAAATCGCGCGGGGTCTGATTTTTAGGTGTTCTATAGATTCTGACACCAGTAGAATGTACACCATAAAGGCTCGTTTTCTCAAAGCCATGTTTTCTAATCGCATCAATCTATCGTTTGGTGGGGCATTTTAAACCTAAGATTCTCATGCCAACCCTTCAGCTAGTTGGTTAGATCTCCAAACATTTTGCGAAACAATAAGACGTTGTTTACTACTACTACTACTACTAATAATAATAATAAAATTATTTCCCCTAGTGTCTTCCCCTAGTGTCTAGTCAGTTGTTAAAGCACCGTCCCCAGATCTGATGGAAGGTTGATGCGGAAATTATGGAACCGCCTCGCAGGACTTGTTTGTTTGTTTAACCCAAAGGACATGCGGAAAAGTTAAAAAAGACGCTTAAGAATGTTCAATTGAAGAAAAAATTTGTGAAAATGAGGTTTTTGCTTTCGTGTCTAACAGCCTCTGATCCCTTAGTTCGTTTTGGTCGAAGGCGCCGTAACCGTTCGATGAATGGAATATCATGACTTTCGTGAAGAACTTAGAGGTCCTGACCGAGGCGGCTGATCCGGAGACAAACGTGGTGAGTTGTCGGCACTGGAATTGCTCCAATGAGTCCGGCCGGGGCTGTCTTGGATGTGGCTAGAGGGATGGAAGGAAGCCCCATGAAGGAAGCCCTTACATCAGACCACAAGCATGACATGAGGCGATTCAAGGCGGCCAGAGCGAGGCTGGAAGGCGAACCGAGGGTGGTCTTGGCTAATCTGTTGCAGTGGTTGGATCCTACATCATCAGATTTTGAAAGTGTCACCTCAACAGTTGCTGCCTCACCAAGTCGTCGAATATGTTCAGCCTGCGCCTGTGCTCAGTTGCGGTTAGGAAGCAAAATCGAATAGCTGGAAGTGGATGATCTGATCCATTTACCAATGAAAATAGCAGAGGTATCAGTGACCACACCGTAATCGCAGGAGATGTGGGGACGGCACTTTGCCACTAGACCAGACACTACTGCATCAGTAGTGTAGACCATTGCATCAGGACAACCTGCTTAAAATGACGTACCCGTTAATTAGGAACCGTATTTTAGTGAAGACCGTCAGTAGGGAATGCGTTCGTTTCAATTCCATAGGGTGTAAGATTGAGCACCATTGGCAATACATCTAAAAGTGCAAAAGAGATTTCAAACGTGCCTGTCGTGTACTGCTCCATCTAGGCGTGTACATTTGCCCTAAATTGTCGCTTTTACGGTAGTCTCATATTTTGAGCCTTGCGGCGTGAATAACTCAACGCAACAACGAACGTAAGTCATAAGCTGTCAAACAAAGCTGATAAGGTTCTCAGGTCGCATGAGATGCGCAAGTTTTGTCCCCTTTTTGTGATTGGTATCTTTCCTTGTATACTTTTGGCGAAGGAGGGTGTAAGTAATGAACTACCCCAGAGCGCTCAGAAAAACACTGGGTTATCAGAGTGTTTTGTCAACAAAATAATAAGCACTGGATTGGATGCATGTAGCTTTCTGTGATTCGTTTTGTTGTTTCCAGTGTTGTTAGCATGGATAACCAACTGACCGATGTTTGTCAGTCTACAATAAAATTATCCCCTATGCCACTCAACTTCATATTCATGGCACATCTTAGCAATTCTAAATATTTCCACTTCGACTTATCTCAAATTCCTGAAGAAAGTCAAAGTTTCATTTCATCCTGACTGGTTTCACGCCTGGAACAAACTTAAACACACTCCCATATGACTTTGTTCCTCAAGGTCAAACCTAATGCCTGGGCTCGTTGTAGTCATTCCTAGCACTCTGTACCATTTAAAGCAAGATATTGACCAAATGAGCCAGAACTTTATTCTTTGTATGACAGCAGAATCAAACTATCGTCAGGGTATGGTTAGGACTGTGGCAGTATTTTTGGAAAGTTCTTGTCGGTTTATTTTCGACACTGATTCATTTGAATAGCCGTGACCTCAAAGTATCCATAAAAACTATGCTGAAAATTCATTTTGTCCTTTTAGGTTATTCTTTATGCTGTTTGTGCTTCTTTTAATGCTTTTCAAATAACTTCGAGGGTGGGCAAGTTAAGTATGGTGTTTTTCATCTCTGCCAGTTTCTCGCTTCTTGGGGATATCACTATCACTGGATGTATACGGATATTAATGGGTACAATTGGAAATATCAAGAGAAAAGCTGCGCTTAAGGTAAAAAACTGGTTACTTTGGGTTGGATAGTGATTATACATATATATATATATATATAATATACGTATATGTGTCATCCAGGTCATGGTACCCTTGGATGGGTAGACCACAGCAAACCAGACAGTCATGTGATACTAGGAATGTTTTTCAGACTCTTCTATTGTTTTTGTCGCCCTCATTAACTTTGGAAACAAAGAAGGCTGCAGTAATTGTCAGGACTATCTTTAACAGCTAAAAATAAGTCGAATAATACTACTTGTTGAAAAGTGCTCTCTCAAGAGAATGCAACAAATACTGATTCCAGGTATCTGATGTCAAGGCAGTCTAAGTCTTTGTCCACATCAGGAAATCGTGTATGTCCACAAGACAGACAGTATTCGTCTGTTGGTCCTGTGTGCATTTTTTTTCAGCAAGCCTAACACATGCGGGGACCACTGTGGTTAAAAATAGGTTGTAATTTCGCCACTACCGCACCAAAGCCGTCTGTGCTCATGGTTAGTAAGACAATGCCACCTACAATTACGTCAAACCTCTCTCAACATGGGACAAGTAAGGAATGCTAAGAAAGTCTGCAAAGACGTAGACACGATCTACGTGACACAGCATTGCATCCTGAATAACTGTTACTTTGCTTCCACGCCACCAAGATGAACTGCACTTCACTTCTTTGGTTGTTGATATAAGCGCCCACGAAAATGTCTATGTTACCGGTTAGTAAACCTAATGGGCACACGTAGAAGGCAACCACACTTTTGACAAACATTCGACGCGCTGTTGATTCAGGTGGAAAATTGAAAATCAATGGATTTTGACGACATAGTTTATCTGCACACCTTTTTAACTACCAGTTGTTACGCACGTATGTGTTGGACAGACGGTCAAGGTAGGTTTGTATCCGGTTCAACCAGATATTATCACACACCATCATGAAGAGACAGGTGTATGAACTCGCGTCTACTGGGTGCATAACTAGTTCGTTTACCGATCAGTTTGACCAAAATCCAAGCATTTTGGCTAACAGTGATTCGCACCTCTCGCGCCTGATATGAGGCGCTATTTCCCAACCAATCCGATTACAGCAGTGATCGTAACACATGATTTAAACAGAATCACGAATGGACGAACGATCACATGTGAATCGACTGGATGGGCAAGCTGCGTTTCAGCTCTGTGTCAGAAACTTTCGTGCTAACCGTATTATGCGTCCTGTTCGTGACTATCTGTGAGTTGCTTTTCATTGATTTTATCGGTTGTTTGAAATTGTGCTCGGTGCAGAGGTTATGCTTTTGCCATTCTGAGAGAGGCAATCACAAGCGCTACTGTCCAAACCCAATACTGTCTTACATGGTTTAGTTATTGTTGTATTTGTAAATCATTTTGGGGCACTACGTGCCAACATATCCTTCATAACAGTTGTGATTTTATCGTGCACGTGCAAGAGGCTGATGATATGCAGTCAAGTTATGTAGGTATCGTGAATATCATGGGGCGTTCAGCAAGACTTTAGTGAGCTAGTATCGATGACTTCGTACGTAAACCCGATTAGAAGACCTTACACTAACAGCCGATTTGATACAGAGAAACGTTTTGCCACTTTGTACCAGGTGAGAGTCAGTGGTATGAGGGAACGGTGATTCTGCTGTTTATAGTTTGTGCCAATGTGACCTGCAAAACGAACACATCGGTTTACACCTTAAGATGTAGCAAAACACGTGACTGGTGGTAACATGACATTGTATCAAGGTACAACTGAACTGGTTATCCGAGACTGAACTTCGCTTCAGTACGTCAAATATCGGATTTTTGTGCATGGCTAACATAAAATAGATAAGAACATTAGAGATGAGACGTCCGCCTGGGCGAACCGTACAAGCTTTAAGCACATGTATGTGATTACAGAGAGGTTGCTTCGTGGAAAGTCGACGAAGCAGGTGGCCGGTTCATCCTCAAGTTATGTAGCATTCTCCCACACTTGGTATACTTTAAATTCCGTTGGAAAAATGTCTAGTCCGTATTGCGCTCTTCAGCTGATGTATGTGCGGCGGGTGTAGTAAGTGTTCCCGCCAGTGTTCCGTACATCCAAGGATCAACAGTGAAGCAAATGGCAATATTACTGTTACGCACACTGGGAAGGATGTAACTGCCATCTGCTCACGGTATGGTACCATCCAACAAATGTGTGATGGGGAAGTGGGATTCCTACTATGGTCTTTGTCGAAAATATGAGATCGTAGTGGGATCTAACAAGTGTCAATGTCATGAATGATAATAGAGTCTTTCCAAGATAGACCATCTTTCACATCGTATACCACGTGACCAGTAGTCCTTGAACCGGTAGCTGTGTTATTCACCTCATGTCTATCAAATATTGATGAATAAGCTTCGCAAACTTGGAAACAAACGTTCCTTCTCGTTCCGTGATGATATTCTTTCTTACACTAAACCATTTTAGTGTGGCTTTGTTGAACATTATAGAGTAATGCTTTTTATGTTGATTCGGAGGAGTTTGGAAGGCTTGGTACGAAGCGTAGATATTCACGTTTGCCTTTCTTCGTCCAACAAATAAATCTGTTAGCGCTATAGATTTTCAATCTTTTGTTACAAGACCGTGATTTGTTTGGAGCTATAACCACTCATACGCTGTGTCGAAATATTTTGCACGATAATACCACTGTTGACAACTTATCTGATACATGAGCGAGGTATGATTAACGAATAGCTGGTCGGCGGTAATGTAGGTTCTATGAGAAAGATAGTCTGGGAAGTAGTTTCTCATGAAAGCTCAGTGTAGGTGGTTAGTCTCGTCAAATGAAAGCTTTTCAGCACAAGCCGGAATTTTTCGTGTCCTGCCCGGATCAGTTCAGTTAGTGAAAAAACTGATCCAGAAGAAATCACTCCATGGAGTCGGTGGTTTATGCCCATTCTTTTATGGCAACGTAAAACTGTTACCTAGCCACTTCAGGGTGTGATCATTTTTGAATTATGAAGAGGCCAAGTGGTCCGGTCGATGTTTCTATCAGCGTTACTTCTTTGATGTTTCTTGTGCTGATGGGGCGTTTGCTAATAGCTAAGCGTGATTTTCTAAAGTCAGACTAACTTGTATGGTTACGTGCAGGAGCTAGTCAAGCAATCAAATTTTTTATCATCCATTTCTGAGGGAAATCTCCACCTGCTATGAGGCCTTTGCTGAAAACCAACGTGATCTTCCGATAACAGGGGTAGTTGCGTGTGAGTGTTAAAATAAACCTTAGAAAACTGGATTTCTCCCACACAGTAGCCCGTTGATAATACGAAGAGATTTAAAAAGCCACAATGGAAACGAAATCAGTCTATAATGAAGAACCAGCAGGCACCGTTTAGTGGTTTCACTTTCAAAGACAATTGGGAGCAGTGCACATCTGACGAATGTCCAGGAGTATTCGAACTCTCAACCACCCGGTTGGGTATACTATACAGTATAAGAAAGCGAGTTTTCGTTTAATTACACCCGAGGTAACTGACAATGAGGAATGCGATCACAAGCTCTCTTTCTGGTAAAGTGGTGCCGTATTAGTAACCCTGTGACTCACTAGTGATTCTCTTGTGTCACAGGCAATTTAAAGGCTCCTCATGGGTCTGTCAGTTCTATCCACATGTTGCGCCCTTGTGAAAAGACATCGTTTGTGAGGGTTTACACCGAATGAAATTTTCTCCCGGAATAAAAGAATTAAATGTTTGTGAACTCGAAAAATTCAACGTTTAAGCTGTTGTACTAACCAGAACTCACTTATTGCGTCTACTACACAGTCGTTAGTTTGCACACACACCCTAGCGTTGATATGAAGTCATCAATATACAACCATACGCCCGGATCAGAATAGAATTCGCAATTATATTTCCACAATGGACATTTCATTTTCAACGATGCCTTGGGCAATGAATTTTTTTGTATGGGCCCATTTTTTTCGTCCGTGGACAAATCGTCAGTGTAGTGTTCCAGTTATTCACTGCGCATCAAGAGTGCTCGACCATTTTCGCACGGGAGGACTTTTATCAGTTTGGTATTGTGCGTCCCCGAAATTGAATTCTCTCGTTTCCTGAGTCATCGCTACCTCGCCATCAACTTGACCGTGGTTTTGCAGCAACTGCTATGGAGTTGTTAGCATTTCAGACTCGGCTCTGGCGCTGTTCAACTCATTCTGTGACACTGAATTTCTCTGTCATATTCGATCTGGCTCCAGCTAAATTTAGTTAGGTATAGGCCTCCTCCCCGCAATATGATAATCATCAAAATCGATTGTTAAATGATCATTATAGTGCCGGTTTCATACTGCAAATAAGGGTCAGAATCACTGCTTCAGTCCTAGAGAATATATTTTAGACAGGCTAGCAAATCACCTCTGTGAAAACCATGATCCAAGGTTTACTCCCCTTAAGATATTTGTTACTTAGTCCAGCTTCAATATATTTAAATACCAAGAAGAGGATATAAATTGGGAGATGGAGACATTATATACATGTATACATTATAGATGGGAACATTATATGCACTTTTTTCTGTCCCAACACATGTAAAGCAGCATGGAAACAAAACAGTACATGGGTCTGGCAGTCGCTCGTGTAAACCAGAGTAAACGTAATATAGCTACCAAACACTTCTGAATACAAGTTGCCGGCCTACAATGAGTAATAGACAAAGCCTTGATCAACTTCATTGATAACGGCTAATTACCTCACAGCAGATTGAGAGACATTATTTGGGGCGGACGGACTGGAGATCTGAATAAGGCTGCTGAACAAACAACTAGTGGAACTCCGTGGTTACCGATCACATGAAAAGTCTTTACAACTGGCCAGGTCGTTGACGTACTCTCTTCTGCTCTGATGTAAACCATGGGGGTTCTACTGAGCGCCCGCAATAAGTTTTCAGCTTATGCTCGCAGGTTATTGGCTCTTTACATAGCTGAGTGACCTAAACTCAGCATTTTCAGGTTTTCCGTCCCATGTTATCTATGTTGGAAGCTACGAAACTAGGCAAGGGTTTCTCCTCAGTATTAATTTCTCCTTACCGAGCGGTTCGGCGAATCTAACCACGCTATATATATATATGTATATATATATATAGGAATATATATTAGTCATAAACCAGTGTAGCGTAGCAGTTGCTGGTTTGTATCAGTTTTGGTAATCTGGCAAAGTTCGAACAAATCAAGATTCTTGGGGCACAATAAGACGGAATAAAACCAAAACAGTTGCTCACGAACGACCCGACCACTTTGAAAAGTTTTTCTTATTGGCACGCTGAACATTCTAGCGTGTTTATCCTCGCGATACATACCTAGTGCCCTTGATGTTGATGCCAGTATATTTGTATATAGCACAAAGTGAGAGAATCCGTGTTTACACTAACTTCTAGCACTTTGTAGACAGATCTTCATCTCGGCAATATTTCGGAATATAGATAGCTCCGGTGCGTTGCTTTGGTGTTTTTTCCGAGCTTGGCAAGCTGTTGAATCAACCACAAAGCAAGAAGGAAACGGCCCAGTCACAACAGGGGAGCAAAACTGTCGAATGGAATGTGTTCAGAGAACCAACCAGGTACAAGCAAGTGAGACCGTAAGGCATCTCAGATTCCCAGGTGACCAATCAAATTAAGCGGAGTACATCTCGGGACCAACCGCTTTATATCCATCAGATACTGTCTAGAAACTATATAAGCACAGGCTGATGTCACTTCAAACGGTTGTGAAACGTATGAAGTACAACCCCGGTGACAAGCCCGATGATCGGACCAACAACCAGACCTTCATCTTTTCCACATGGTTGCTCTTCTCTTTTTACAGAGTTGGGTTAAGATGGCTTAATAAAGAGGGCCTTGTAAACGTTGGCGTAGTCCTACGTACCTACTAATGAAACTACATTTGCTTTTCAAAGTTTCTCACTCTGGTTCATGAATCTTCAAGTTCTGCGCGTCTGTTTGCTCAGCTTAACACGCCCACCTGGCAGGTTTCGGCTTTAGTTGAATGGTCGACTTGAAAACGACCAAGAGGATATAATAGGGGAATGTTGATTCTGAGACCCAGGTGGTCAATTGGGAATTCCCACGTAGGGGTTGCATCAATCCAACGTAAAAAATCTATTTAAAGTCACAGTGTAAATATTTATTCTGCTAAGCCTGTCCTTCATCTCCTTACCTAGTAATAGTGTTCCATCTGAGTACCGACTCGTAGCATGACATCGGAAAATGCATTCTTCCAAGGGCTATAGCATAGCTATCAAAATATCTTGACGTCTTAACCAAAGCATACGTCGGTGGGTAAAATTCCTCTCCCCGAATGTTCCTGGAATTGGGAACGTTTTGTACATCAATGGATGAACTGTTTGTGGACAGTCAGGATCAGAACAAATCTACCCACTCAATTAAATGATTCGGAAATCTATAACCGTCACACGTGTTCACAATGAAATGAGGATGAGATGTTGATTACACGCAACTACACAGTTTGTTATCCTAAGAGCGTGCACGGTGAATAATTCTCCGTCACGCAACATATATCGTGATTTTAAAATCTTGGACTTAGAGTGGCCAGGTGAGTAACAATTAGAAGGCTTTAAGTGGTACCAAACAAAATTGCTCAGAGTCCAATGAGGGGAATAGGTTGACACATTCTATCAGCGCCATGGACTTAAACCTTAGTGTATTCGAGAGAATTCTGTGGAGAGCTACGACGGAAAAATCTTAAGGTAAGACAGTGTGACACACTATACTACTCTTTTTCTTGTTTATAACACAACCTAACTGACGCTCACTATAACTGTTTGTTTCCCTTTATGATTGGATTTTTTTAAATATAGCTTTATATGCCCCTGTACCTTTAGGCCAATTTATGATCGATAATATACCCTGTAGTTCGTATCACGGGACATATCTGATTGATGTCTATTTGAATTGAATGTGGGCACGCGTAAGTTCAGTCATAAAGGCAAAATCCATCCCACCGATAGCTGCTCACCATCGTTATCATCATCAAAACAGCAACGTCAGTCTTCACACTGATGTTTCACTGCCGTACTGATAGCTGCTAGGCTAGATGTTCCACCTAACATGCAATTTCACTGATTGTCTCTGTCAGAATCAAAAATTTTGTAGCCATAACATAAAAATCATGTCAGAATTCCTTGAATCCCTATTTCAGTTGGATTTTTGCCCTTTAGAAGCAAGGGGTTGAACTTTCCGTGCTACTCAGACAAGTGCTGTCAATTAGGATGTTCTTCGAATGGTCAGTATACGAACTTGCGATCATTTTGATTTGCGGTGGCTTTAGCTGAGTATCATTTGAGGTATCTAAAAATTATCTTAAGTCAGATGTATTGGCTATTGTGTTGCCGAAATATGTGGAAAAACAGTGACTGAACACCTGCCCAAAATCCATTTGGCAACCACTGACCAGATTTGTTAGCGAATTGCAGCTAAGATTACACAGAGGTTTCAGGTGAGAGGCAGTATGATTGTAGTCGTCGCTTACCTGGGGATATTTTTTTCAAGACCGATCATATTTTGTTTCCCCTGGTACATTCAAAATGTCATTATGCCGTTGGCTTGCTTCACAAAACATTTCATTCAAAACAACACCGACTATAAAGACGGCCCCTGGTGCATCGACTTGACCGTTCCTAATCGGGATGAAACTTGTGCGAATTGATTTATTTGAGATTCGACATTAAAATTAATGTTAACTCGAGTCTAAGGCCAACTGGTTTGCGCCACTAATCAAAGTGCACGAGAAAAGAGGGACCATCTCGTATTTGCAGCAAAGCAAAGGTGCTGCGGACGTTGTGGCAGATTTTACCGACGCCAAAAACAACAACAAAACTTAATTGTCTTTATCCTTTCAATTTATTCCAGATTTAGTTGACTCAAAGAATCTCTGTGCAACTCCGGACGAGGAGTGTGGAACATTTAAACCCTGTTGCGGAAGGCATTTGATTTGCAAACGTCTTGGCTCTGCAGGACAGTGTGTGCGTTGTGCACGAGATCATGAACATTGTAACCGATCCAGCGAATGTTGTCTTGGCGTCTGTATGAACCACACTTGTCGACATATAATGCGTGATAATTAGCCAACTTTATTTTATTGACTGCATGGGTGATCTTTTCCTCTGCGGAAGTATACAAGTATACCGAGCTGAGATGAGTCGTCCTTTGATCGGAATCATTCGTGTGTTCGAGAAAATAACACATCACTTCCAAAACCATCCGTATTCTTCTGGTCTCGTACTGACGAAATCTAACAAACTAGGCACCCCGGTAAGTGTGGTAAAGACCCCCTAAAGTGAGCACGTTCCCTGAAGTCACCGTCTGTGCACAGCCCGGACAGATTCCCGTTGTGTCTGCCATAAACTGAATATCAGCAGGTACGTCAAAATTAATAATTCATCCGCTTTTTCAGAATTTCCTCCATAAACTTACTAGGTGAATGTCGAGCTTGTGAGTAACAAAATTCTTGGTTACATGAGCATCTTCAAGATCTTCTACCCCAGAAATGATTGCTCCTCAGCACTCTTATGGGAAGTCGCTGTTGGGGGGCTTACTGCACCGACATTCCTCAACAGTTCATTCCTCGAAAATTTATTAACAACATTTATTAACAACTGCCTTGCATCCCTTCGTGAACAACAGCTTTTGATTCTTTTGTTTTAAAACTAGATTAGCAATAATTTCCACGGCAAATTAGCCAAATACTCGAAAGATATATTTTATTTAATTTACGTACAGTGTTCTTTTCCGCCAAGAAGCAAGCAACGCATTAGACCACATTTAAACTGGCACTAACCGATAAAGAGTACTGTGGTAGCATATACCACAGATTTGTGATTTATCGATAAAAAATTCTTGTACAGTAGCACTTTTACAGCTAACAGTTTACTGCGCGTGAATTTATCACTTTTTTCCAAACCGAGCAAAATGAGGTAAACCTGGTTGCATCGAATTTCTCAGTGTAGACATGGAAGTGTCCGCATAGCTATGCCCCAAGCTTTGCAGTTCCAAGAGGGACAGCGACAGTTTGACCACTTTCGGTTTCAAGCACGTGGCCTACCGGAAACTGACGGCCAGTATCGTTTGCACCATTTCGGTTCGTCTTATTGGTAGTGGTCGTTTTTCTGGTGAAGTCCGACTTCCTACTTCGTGGCTGCCTGGTCTGGACAGTGACGAATTTATGGTCTCATGAGGTGAATTTCCGAAACCAACCACATATAGTGGCTAGTAGATCAGAAGGGTAGGCGTGTATATGGTGAGATGACTAATCCCAATGGTAGCGTAGGTTTAGAACGAAAACTAGTCTCCCTCCCTCCTTAGTTCGCAACCTAACAACAAAACGCACAATCCTTTGGCTCTGCTGTTTGTGGGTCCCGAGCAAGAGGAGCTCCAAACCGGAAGTGTACCAGCCTTCGCAATTTACCGATTATTCAAATCGGTTAATAATATGCGCACAAATGAAGCAATTGCTGCCTCCTTGTTTGGTCATACACCATGGAACATTATTGGGGACTGGTGGCGTAGGTGGTCGATATTACACCTTCGTTTAGTCATTTGACTCGGATGATAGATTACTTCCAATGATTTAAACAGTTTGTAATAAAGTAAACTTGAATAAAGCTTTGGATGTTTTGTCTGCTGACTCACCTAATTATTCAGTTTGTCCGTTATTTAACAGTCAATTCTTAATAATTTCACCGTGCTTGCTGGAGCAGAGGACTTGACCGCAGCTATTCTAGGGTCAAGAACGTGGATCAGGGACATGATGTTCCTATTCTCCACCAGTTCAGCTTATCTGGACATCCGATCTGATCCTGATAATCTAAAGGTGGTTTATATCCATTCTTAAATTAGGTAACATCAACTGTTCTCGTCCTGATTACAGAATATGAACGGTTGCAAAGGATCGGTTTTATTCGCGTCTAACTTGGAATGGAGCACGATAAAATAGATAAATCGATCAAGGTGTTATAAAGTGTCGCTGTAACATTAGTGCAAAAAGGACAACCTTACCTATCAGTGATTGGGAAGCTGGATTTGTGTCCCAAGACAACGTCAGATGTTCACATGTCTCTTGCTAGCGAGAAGAGAGATTGCATAACTGAAAAGCGATTGTTTCAGATAGTTCAAACATTTTTGAACAGTATTTGGCAATGTGTTGCAGTGAATTCCCCGGCCGAATCATTTGGCCTAATTGTATTAATCAGGTTAGTGGCGATAGTACTGTTCGACCCCGTGAGATAGGAACAGAGTCGATTGATCCTGCAATGAAATTCATACAAACCTAGAGGAATCTCGGACTAACTTGTCATCTTTGAGATTCCTGGCATTTTATCCCTTAAAAATAGGCTGTTACCAATGTGTAACCTCAGGAATGCAGTCAAACACCGAATATTTTTTCCCACAGTCATATCACTCATAAACCTTAGTGAGCATTTTAACCTGAAATCGAAAAGGTTTACTAGTTTTTACTGTAAACATATAGCCAACATAAACAATTCCAGCAGTTGATAAAATCCTAAAACAACTAAGCCTTGCTCATATTTGCTCAGATTTGGTGAATGTGAGTGCCCGATTCAAACAACTATTTCTGGAAACAACCAAACACCCGAAGAAATCGATCAACCACAATAAGAACTCGTGAAAAACGCTGAGAACGGTAGGGGATATAGGTGGAAAATAAAATCGGTCGGTTTGCGCGCGACCGGATGCTGGACCTTGATGTCAGTGAGGACATGAGGAAATCGGGTCGGTGAGGAAGCAGTTAGAAGGGTCATTATCCATACGTTTTCCTAAAGGCAATCCCATGTGCCTCGGCATCAAGCGATCTTTCGTCACTGAAATACTGATATCATGCCTGCGTTCTTTTGGCTTTCAGTGCACCACTTCACTTTTCCCGCCTCACTGCATCGGATTACCATAGAATTAAAGGATGCTGATACACCAGAATGTTCCCGAACGTTCGCCTGATAACACACTTTTTCATCCCTCTGGGATTTCACGTTGTTAGTTTTGGGACACAAACGCCGAGTATGTGTTCATTCCACGGCACAGGCATTAAATTCAGGTTTGGTCCCTAGTGGATGCCATGATGAAATCGTGATCTTCATTGGTTTACTCCTTCCGAATTTCACACCTCAGTCATTCAGGAAGACCACATACGTGGTGGATCCAAAAGGACCTTCTCGAAAAGATTCTGCACATATGACCACAAATGATGCTATTTAAATTGTTTGTGGATTTCACCACCCCCTTATGGTCGTAATATGATTGAATGGCGAGGAATTTTCCCAAATCGTACAGTAATTAATAATGCCATCCAATTAATACTATTAATTTCGTCAGCGTTCTTTGCAGCGAACTATACAACCCAAAAGAATGTATCCTTCCGTCGAATTTTGAGTGGGGTGGGCTATCAGATTTTACATAAAGTGAGTCTGAAAAGGCAATATTAACACAATATGTAATGAGTGGTCGTCGGATGATAAAGCTATGTTGACGCTCTCCGAAGGCATTTGAACTGCATTTGGCGGCAAACCGAGTCTAGCGTGTACTTACATTACTTTCGGACACTAGCCAATAAAAGTCATTTAATTGCCTTTGGTCGATCCACTGGAAACTGATGGATGATTTTGAAGGTAGGATGCACATGAAATTGGTGTTCGGTTTCCGTCAAGTGAGCCACAATGTGTATGAAACACTTTCGAAGACGTTCTGCTAACCGTCTAGATGTCCGACTAGCAGACGACTGCAGTTGAAGTATTACCTGAACAGAAACTGGCCTGGTGTAGGGAGCCATTCTTTTAGGTTGGGATTGCCCACGGTTTTCCATCCAAAATGGACTTGGTGTGTATCTATTGTAGTGTAGTATTTATGTACGGGATTGACCGGCTACCAGACAGGAGGTAAACCTGGCTGGGAAAGCCCAGGAACCTATAGCGAGGCGGAGCACAAATTTATGCATACTTACGAGCATACGATGGCAAAACCAAGCTAAACTGGAAAGCCGAAGTACATATATTTCGGCAAAATTAGTGGAACGCAAAACAAAATCATGTAATTCATTCAACAAAAATTTGGTTTTTCTGTCTGCCAGTCAGTTTTACACCTGATGGTTTCTTAACACAATGTCTGCTCGTAGCCCTACAGAATTTTGTGCAGCATATTGCGTAGGTTCGGAAGCATAGTTGACTTCACTAGATCGGTCTCAATCTTGGGGTCCTGAATAAAAAGTGGAGTCTATATATGGAAAAATAACGGATTAACATTTTGTTACTCAGCGCACAATGTAGAATACAATCACTTATCAGGAAGCTTCAGATCAGAATCACCCTAGATATCGTTCAGATATTGTTGTCACTGAGAATGAAAAGGGCTAACGGAACACCCTACTCATAAGCTTTCTGAATACTCTTCGATATTCCATGACCATTCTCGCACTTCTTATTAATCGGCAGACAGGCATGCTTCCAGAGACTCCATCAACACAATGATCTATTTGAACACAAAATCATAAGAAACCGGCTTAATAATCTGATTCGCAGGTCACCTTGGTGTTAACAAAAGCGATCGGCTGATAGTCTTCAGATGAATGTCCTGCTTAAAGTGACATTAATTTTATGTTGGCAAGGGATATTGCGGTAGTTTTCTCAGCAGAACACTGCTTATAGAATTATTAAAAAAATTTCAAAATTCATTGGCTTGTTAGCCATTCTTGGAGAACAGTGATTAGGAGTTTTTCCTAAGCTTTCACCAAATTTCATGTCCTAATTGAATGCCAAACTTGTAAGTGCAAAGTACTTCACGACTTTTCACCCAGAATAAAATTGACCTCGTGATTCGAGGCGATAAATTATTTGCTCGAGAACGAAACGATCCATCAGTTTTATTCTTAAACATTCTGCTCTGTTGACAGCCAGCAGTCCACATATTGTGAAATATAACGCTTTTGTGATCCAATAAATACGATAATTGCTGTCAGGCGCTCAGCCTGATATGTGAGCATTTTGGAAAACCGTAGAGAATCAAAGATTTTGACAGTTTTTTTCGACTTTTTCAATGTGACTGATGAATACGGCCATGCGATTCATAGACCTCGGATAATACACGATCACCCACAAAGCATATGATTTTAGTCTCGTATATAATCTAAAGCGGAACCTGGTATACTTTCACAAAATACCGGTAACCTGCAGTTTCTACACAAATAATTGCTCATCTTCATTACCTGAGAGTGAGGTTATTTCAAAGGAGAGGGCAGAACAAATGACGCAAGACGCGATTCCAATGTGATTAATCATGTCCTACTTGTTTTTTGGACGTCGATTGATGAATCG